TCTCTTTTCCGGCTTGCATACAGTGCAATGGCAATAGTAACACGTGTACTAAGACTGGTAGTGATGGATCTGGTATATCCAATGCTGATATGATACTTTATGTATCAGCAGTTGTTGCTGGTAGCTGTGGAGGAGGAAGTGGCTCAACTTCTACAATAGCATTTGCAACAACATGTCAAATGGAGAGTGCATTAGACAGGTGAGTTAGTTATTAATAGTTATTAGTGATTATTAAGACATATTGATAGTTATTAATGGTGATTTGTTTCTTTGCAGACCTATAGCTGGCTCTGTTAATTTCTGTCCCTCGGCAATTACTGATAAAGTAACTGATGACTTCATTATTGCAACAGCAAAACATGAAATAATCCATGCACTGGTATGTAATGTAATGGAGTCAATTGAACTTATTAATCCTATTAACTTAAAAAATTGAAGTCGGAATCACCTCAAACTTGCTACACAGCATAAGGACATCAATATGTATCAGAAAATGTGATAAAAATTTGAGGTGATTTTGGAGCCATTTTTTGGAAAAAACCATGGGCTATAGCCTTGGGTAATTTTCAAAAATTTGACGTTTTCTTAAAATAGCTGTAACTTGAAAAATTGAAGTCGGAATTAGCTCAAACTTGCTACACAGCATAAGGACATCAATATGTATCAAAAAATGTAATAAAAACTGGGGGTAATTTCGGAGCCATTTTTTGGAAAAAACCATGGGCTATAGCCTTGGGTAATTTTCAAAAATTTGACATTTTCTTAAAATGGCCGTAACTTGAAAAATTGAAGTTGGAATCAGCTCAAACTTGCTACACAGCATAAGGACATCAATATGTATTAGAAAATGTAATAAAAATTTGGGGTGATTTCGAAGCCATTTTTTGGAAAAAACCATGGGCTATAGCCTTGGATTATGTATTTCTATTGTGTGAAACATGTTCTGCTGTGCATATATTTATGTAGGCATTTTCACCGTCACTATATCCTTTCTGGAGAGATCAAAATGGAAAGCCAAGAACAGACAGAGATAGTAATGGCTACCCACCAAGAGGCAGTGGATAGTACGAAAGAGAGAGAGTTAAAATGAATGCATATTTTATATCATATATCATTATTATTAGTTATAACTACATGTGGAGTGATAGCACAATAAAACAAGTGACTTATAATGACTGGCAGGTTTATAAAGGATCAGTCAGTCACACTGTCAATCTTGTAGTTACTCCTACTGTTGTAGTAAGAAGAATTGAATGGAGAGATATAGATGAAGTTTCAATGTGTTTCAAATAGGCTGAAGCTGCAAGATACTTCGATTGCTCTAGTCTAGTAGGCGTAGAATTAGAGAATCAAGGAGGACAAGGAACACAGTTATCTCATTGGGAGAAAAGAATATTAGGAGTGAGAGGATTATAATTCAACAAATAATTGTTTTATTTATTGATAGAATGAAGTAATGACTGGTATCATTGATTCTAATCCAACACTGTCTAATATAACATTGGCACTGTT